CTGGTGAGTAATGACATGGACCAAGACTGTCGCTGAAATACCTCCTGGCACTTCAACATGGCATACGCAGCAACAAGACAAGCGTCCGCCGCCATTTTCGGGAATACTATGCAACGGTCAGCTGTCGCCACGCTGCAAGCTCTCGCATACCAGCCGTGCTCTGTGTCGGAGATACACGCGTGCGCAGTCCTGGGCAGCACCTGGCCCTGGAAGGTCTTCTCGTAGGCCTCCAACACAGGGCCTGGCAGCACATCCTTGTATACGAAGGCATCCGGATACTCGAGAGCCAACCTGGCATGCCGTTCGTGTTCTCCAAAAAATACCGCAAGATTGTGCAAAGGCACCAACTCTTCCGCCACGCCCAAGCGCTCACATAAGGATATACGCACAGTCTCCAGAGCAGATCTGGCCCGGGCGCGCAGAGAGGGAGCCACCCCCCGGGTGTGCCCGAGCTTGCTATCCAGAGAGACGAAGGAATACAAGAACTCCCACTCGTGCTGCTCCAGGTGGTCGCTGGTCCAGTATTCGCCACGCTGCTCGCGATAGCGACGATACGCTATGAGCCGCTGCGTCGTCCTGCAATCAACGAGATACTGCGCCAGTAACTGCTTTTTCACCTCCTCGGCCGAGACGCCCTTCTGCAGCTGCTCCAGGACAAACTCCCCGCATACGTGGCGATGTATGTCCTCAGCATTCTCCAGTAGTGCCAGCTGCTGAGAGGGCGCCTTCAGCCACGTCTGAAGGTGACCGCAATTGGCAAATACCCCGGTCTCCGCGCGATACTTGTCCACCAGCGCTCGCCCCCTCAAGCCTTCTACGTGATGCCAGTACTGGAGGTCCCTGCGCGACAGCGCGTAGACGGCGGAATTGCCGTGTTTGGCACCGTCTCCGAGGCGATACCTGCCAAGCCACTCTCGACAGACATTCTGACCCGTCTCATACCCCCAGGCCTTCAGACGCACCTGCATATTCCGGTAGTCGAGGCCAAGGCCCAGGTCGGAGACCTCCTCTCGATACCGCTTGCCGCATGCCGCCTCTAGAGCCTCCACCGTCATCAGCGTCATACGAACCACATCTGTGGAGGAAGAAGCTGCCGTGGCCTGCTGCTTGGATACGGGCTCCTCCGCGTCGACCGCGGCAGGCCGTTTGGCCACGCGGGCAGATCCGGCGGCGGCTGGCCGTTTCAATACACCGCCTGCGACCTGTGCCGCCGGGCGCTTCAATACACGCTTGGTGACGGCCTGGGCGGATGAAGCCGCCGCCTGCACGGAGGAGCCCACCGACGCATACACATCGCACCACTTTCTCAACACTGATCGGGACACCAAGACAGCTTTCCGTCGCATACGCAACACGGTATGCAACGTGTGGTACTTCAGCCCTGGATATACATCGCGCATGTGGTCACCAAGTGCCGCGTTGAGCTTTTCGGCCGTGTCGTACTGCAAAGGTCCAGAGTCAGGGTGATACTTCACGTACCATTGCCTCAAAACCATACCGCTGACAGCGACGGGAGGGTCGCTCTCCGAGAGAATCTGCGAGAGGACCTCCGCGGCGGCCTCGTCGGCGAAGCTCTCCCGATACTGATTGAGTCGAAGACGCTGGCCTATACATTCCTCCACAGCTTGGGCAGTATTCAATGCTCCCTTGGCGCCCCACTCCGTGCTGAGCCACTTCTGACATACCCTGGCGTCAGCAGATACAGATAAATGTCCCAGGAGCCACTGCTTCAAGACGGCCCCGTCAGTAGTCCCCTCGGGCATGTCTGTGCGAATACGTTCTCCATACCAGGTCTCCAGATGGCCAGCGTTCTGCACTTTGACAAGCGTCTCTTTGGAAGAATACTGCAGTAGCCACATCTTTGCGACCCAATCTGTCACATGCAGTGGTGGATCCAACTGTCGGAGCGCCCCGCATAATTTGAAAGGTGTATTATACTCGATGCCCAGGTGGCGGATGGCAGAACCGTGCTGCTCCTCCAGCTCCTGGGCGCTAGAAATACTAACCTTGCCAGGCACAACCCGATACTTGCCCCACCAAGTCTTGCACGCCTGGTGACTGACCTGGATACCCTTTGCAACGAGCGCCTGATGCAAATAATACGGGCTCTCGCAGTCGGCCAAGGGAGGCCGCGACAGCTCCGGGCCATACTGCTCGTCAAGGGCTTTCGCCGTCAAAGCCATGGACCATCCAAGAACACAGGCGATACCTTGATCCGAGATGGCTACGGATGTGCCAGTGATCAGTCGGAGGCTTCCTGGGGCCGCTTGGGGTCCTCTTGGGGAAGGAGGGAAGCCTCCTGGCGCCGCTTGGGGTCCTCTTGAAGGGCTTTGGGGGGCTTCTTGGAACCATCTTGGGGCCTCTTGGGGGCTTATTGGATCCTCACGGCGGGCTCTTGGGGCCTCTTGAAGGCCTCCTGGGGCAACCTATGGCGCAACCAGTAGGGGGACGTTTTATTCTCGGCGGCCGAGGGCGCAACCTATGACGCAACCAATAGAGGGGCGTTTTATTCTCGGCGGCCGAGGGCGCAACATATGGCGCAACCGCAAGGGATTCTGGCCCCTGGCAGGCGCGCGAACCCCGTTGCAAAGATGCGAAAGTAGCTCGCGCGAGCTCATGTAACATAAATGTTGGAAAACCATTGGTTTTTTGAGAACGGACAGCGCGCGCGGGTGGAAATTTTGAAAAGTCGTGCAGGTGTTTTTCGAGGACCTACGGTGCGATTCGTGTGATTTTATGATGCGCGGTGCTAAAATTCTTAAAAACCCAATGATTTTTGGAGATTTCGGCGTGCGCGCGCGAAGAAAAAACGAATGTGTCCCGCATGGTATTATTTGACAGGGATGATGGCCCTGGCAGGTGCGCAAACGTTGTCGCAGAAGTTCGAAAAAGTTGCTCGCAAAAGCCCGTTTGACAGAATTGTTTAAAAAGTGTTGGTTTTCCTACGAATCCGCAAGAGCGCGCGGAAGAACATTTTGACAATTTTTTCTTAAAAAACCATTGGGTTTTTGATGTTTTTATGTTAAAATCGCTACGAAACCTAAGGTTTTGGAAGGATTTCGTCTTGCGCGCACGAATGTCCACTTTACCTTATTTTTTGCAAGGGATTCTTGCAATTTGATCAAGTAAGAACAAGAATTTTCATTTTATAGTGTTTTTTGCAAGGGAAAACGGAGTACAACAAAAAACCGGATCCGGTAACAATCCACTTTTCTGAAGCTTTCGCGAAAAAATGATGAAAATGTAGCTGCGGCCTAGGCGCGGCGCAGAGGTCGCGCACCAGGGGTCCCAACAATAATAATTCTTTAGAAGGAATAATATTCAACAACAACAACAACAACATCATCAACAACGACAACGACAACGACAACGACAACGACAACGACAACGACAACGACAGCGACAGCGACAACGACAACAACAACAACAACAACAACAACAAAACTTACGCGCGAGCTCTTGCGAAATCTTAAGAAAACCATTAGTGTTTCAAGATTGTCACAACATGCTACCAAACGGGCGTCGCGCGCGCGCATGTCGAAATCTGTCGAACGCCCTTGCGCGTGTGCCGTCGCGAGAATCCACTGCAAAAAATAAGACGAAGTGCAGACAGACGCGCGCGTCGTCGCGCACGTACGCCGAAATCCTTCAAAACCCATCGGTTTCGGAAGGAATTCAACATCGCGCGTCCAAAAAACCTACAAAAACACAAGGTTTCGCAACACGGATTTTCAACAAAAGCGTGCGCGCGCGCGCTCTTGCGGCGTCGTCGTCGTCGTCGTCGCCGTCCTCCCTCCTCCCGCGTCGTCGTCGTCGTCGCCTACGTCGTCCTGTGTCTTTCCTCGTGTTCGTCGTCGTCGTCCTCTTTGGCGTCGTGGTCGTTTCCGTCGTCGTTGTCGCCGTGGTCGTCCTTCCTCCTCCTCCCTCGTCGTCGTCGTCGTCCGTCGTCGGCGTCTCGTCGTCGTCCCTCCTGTTTCGTCGCCGTCGTCGTCGTCGTTGTCGACGTCGTCTCGTCGTCGTCTTCCCTCCTCCCTCGTCGTTGTCGTCGTCGGCGTCGCCGTCCTTCCTCCTTCTTCGTCGTTCGCGTCGTCGCCGTCCTCCCTCCTCCCTCGTTGTCGTCGTTGTCGTCGTTATCGTTGTTGTCGCCGTCGTCGTCCTCCCTCTCCCTCCTCCCTCGTCGTCGTCTTCGTTGGCGACGTCGTCGTCGTCGTCTTCGTCGTCGGCGTCGGCGTCGTCGTCTTCGTCGTCGTCGACGTCGGCGTCGTCGTCGTCGTCGTCGCCGCCGTCGTCGTCGTCGTCGTCGTCGTCGTCGGCCGTCTTGCTTCTCCAGCCTTCTTCGGGCGCTCTTGAGACGCCCCCGAGGGCTCCAAGACGACCCCGGAGCGGTATCTGTGCTCGGTCCCGCATGGGTTTTGCAAACCAAGTTGCGGGTGGATGGGTGGGATGACTGCGCGAGCAGTGGAGTCGACAACTTCAAGTTCGGCAAGTGATTACTTGCACAACGTAGATTCCACACCATCACAACGTAGATTGCAACGCATAGGTGGCTCCACACATATATTGCACAACCTGTACGGTTAGGCACACACTGCTTGGGGCCCACGCTGGATAGCACTTGTATATAGAGACTCGGGAAGCCTCCGGGGACCTCCAGAGATCTCCCCCAGCGAGAGGGTAACGGGACGGGATGGAATCCGGAGGGATGGGCCTGGGATGGAACAGGCTGCGATGGGACGGGATGGGATCGGGATGAAACCAGAAGGATGGGATGGGATAGGATGGCACTGGTGGAACGGGATGGACGGACGAGCCGACGGGCGAGTGGGCGGATGCATGGGCGAGAGGGCGGGCGGATGGACCCCCCCCCCCTCGCCTGCCACTCCTGCCTCCTCACGTCCATGCCCTACCTTCTGGGGGACCTCAGCCACCTCCACTGCCCCCTGTCGGCGCTCAGACTCTCATCTCAAGCAGCAGCCCACCCAAGCGCCCCTCCCTTGAACTAGCTCGCAGACGCACGCGTGGACGTCGCCCTTGAGCCTCGTGATGAGCTCCATCAGCACGCTCTCGTCGCTCTTGAATCCCATGGTCCTCCGAAGGACGGGGCACGGGTGGTGACCTGTGTGTCGGACCGGAAGCTGGGCAAGACAAATCTCAGCGACGGCGTGCCCCCTACAAGCAAGGAGGTGATAGCAGATCCGGAGCCTCACACTCCAACTGCGGTCTTCCCTGGCCTGGGCCCAGGGGCTAGCACGGTCGCCATGAAGAGCATGAGGAGCGGAAGTGACAACCAGCGTTGTGTGCTCTTGAAACGTACCGTTCAATCAGTACACCGCCATGGCACGTGCACATCCACGGCTTCTGAAACCCTGCCCTGAATCCCTGGAGCAAGGTGGGGATGTGGATGCTTTTCCGCCCTCGGGGACGAGCAGATACCCATGGTCAGCACACCTCGACAGGTCGCCGAGCAGCTGTCTCTCAAGAGCCCCATTCGCAACAACGCCCGTGACTGGCCCCGCCTCTCCCGCCCTCCCCCCACCCCCCCTAGTCACGTCGAGATTCGCGCTGGTGCCGTCTGGGAGCGAGCCTTTCCTAGGAATTCGCAGACGGCGTCAGAGCGACTCGTGACGTGACTGGCACCCTCCCCCCCTCCCCGCCTCCTCCCTGGTCGCGCCCGTTATTGCCAGGGGGTAAAGAAACGGTCTCCAAGTCAGTCAGGGCGTTTGATTAATTTTGTCAATATCCCTCTTGCGACACGAAAATCAGACAGATAATGAAACAGAGAGAACAACAACAACAACAACAACAACAACAACAACAACAACAACAACAACAACAACAACAACAACAACAACAACAACAACGACAGCGACAACGACAACTACAACAACAACAACACCCACAATCACAATCACAACAACGACAACAACGACAACAACGACAACGACGACAACGACGACAACGACAACAACAACCACAAAAATAGCAACGAGAACAACAACAACAACAACAACGACGACAACAACGACAACAACAAAACAGAACAAAAACGATAACAGCAGCAACAACAACAATCAGTTTAAGAGTGCTCGCTCTTTCAGGCTCGCGTGCCATTCAGCACGTATATCCCAAACCCTCCATGCCCGCCCTCTTCGTCTTTGTTCGCACCCCCCTGGGCCGAGGGGGGCACTTCAATAGAAAAACTAAAACGGTTGCCAGAGTGGGGATCAACAATAGTTATTACCTTAAAAACTTGAACTCAACAACATCAACAGCAACAACAAGAACAATAACAAGAACAATAACAAGAACGGCAGCAGCAGCAACAACGACAACGGCAGCAGCAACAACAACAAAACAAAACGACAGGGAGAAAGAGAGAGAGAGAGAAAGACGATAGACAGAGAGAGAGAGATAATACAAAAAAATGCCGACCTCGAAGCGAAAACGGGGAAACAAATATAAACAACTGCAGCTTGAAGGGGCAGGAGCGGTCAAGTTCGAAGCGAGCTGAACACGTACCAGAAGCACCTCGAAAACGAAAGGAAACCCGCGCGAGCGGGGAAAGCGTGCACTTGGAGACCCTGAAAAACAAAGTTGTACAAAAACGGCTCTGGAATCGAACCTTTGACAAAAAAATACTGCGGGAATTCCGAAACGAAAACAACGGATCCGAAAACTGCAATAAAACAAGAAAACTCAAACGGTGGAAAAAAAACACCACCACCGTTTTAAGAGACACGTAAGGTCGAGATCCTGGGGCACGACGTCGAGCGGTGACAATGAATGATACAATTGAGCGGTGAGACGTCGCAAATCCCGTCCCGCCATCTGTCCCGCACACTGGGGAACTCGACACGCCCCTGCGCTACCCACCGCTGCTGTTGCTCCCCAAGAGCCGAAGAGAGCAAGCAAGGCGCAACCTACTGCACAGGCGGGCTCACGTCGGGTCGCGAGCTGGTCAGAAACAGATGACTTGCCAACCCACCCCGCCCGCAGCCCGAGTCGTGACCAAGCTGGAATTGGTTTTAACAGTTTTGGCTTCAGACGGGTAGTTACCACAGTTACCACCAAGACGACCCCCAGATCCCCTCGAGACGTCCTGGGGGCCCCCTGGAGCCCCCCTGGAAATGCCCGGAGACACTCCCTGGAGAATTCTTAGGCGCCTGAGCGAGGAGCCGCATCTCGCCGCGGGCCAAAGCACTAGCAGCGCTGCCTCGATTGGCGCCTGGCTGAACAAGATACAACCGAACAACCCGAAATGGCAAGACGCTCGTCGCTCGTCTGTCAAACCTCTCCCCAGGCCAGCTGTCCGACGTGCCCTCACGTGCATGGCCTACCGCAGGGTCGGCTCGATCCGCGGCATTCGCATCTGCCCAGACGAGGCCCCTCAGACTCCCAGTCAATGCAGAAGATCGGCGATGTCGGGCTGCGCCACGGCGGACCAGCCACGTCTTAACCCCCGCACCGGTCCTGAGGTGGCGGAGCTTCGACACGTACTTGAATCGTGGTCTGCTCAGCACGAGGGACGACTGCGGGGTGATGGTCTCCTCCCCACCCGCCAAGATGAACCACTTCTCAGCCCAGCAAATATGTCAATCGTATTATTTGCCTCCTGCGTCCTTTACTTTTCTCGTTGACTGATTACTCATCTGATTTACATCCTGCATTAATTCCCTATGTCTTCCCATGTCCCTCTCTCTCTCTCTATATATATATATGGTAATATATATATATATATATATATTTCTCCCCCTCGCACCCATTCGCTCCGTATCAGTCCATCCGTCCGTTCGTGCGTCTGTCCACCCATCCACTCCACGCACCCATCCTTTTTATCCAACCAGAGTCAGCTCCGAGAGCGCTGGCTTTTCCCAAACTGCCCCAAAAACTCACGCTTTCACCTTGGCGCTGCTGGACGTCCTACGCGCTCACCTCACGATGTGCGCCGCCCCGCCGTTCTTTTGCGGAACCCCGGCATGCCTCTTGACGTCCACGAGCACTCGCGCCCTCCTCCTTCCCCCACGTCGCCTTGGCGGCCCCGCCCGCGGGCATCTCTGTGACCATGTGGGCCCCACCTGCGCGGGCGACCTGCGAGCCCCGCAGGGTGCGAAGCCCCGGAGAGATGCGGGGCGCGGCTTGGGCACCGCGCCGCGCAGGGTCCTCCCGAGGCGCTGCGCTCAGTCGGCGCGTGCGCACGGCCTCAACCCAGCCCATGGTGCGCGCGAGGCCGGGGAATTTGCGGGCAGTTCACCACCACCAGCTGCATACAGGTCCAGCCATCACTTGTGTGGACTATGTACGTGCACTTGCTCACGGCCTCCGAGATTCCAGCTGCCGCGGCTGCAGCTGTCACGAGAAGGCGGGGATCCTGGGCCAAACGGGTCTTGAAACCCAGGGCTCTCCCCAGGACCCGCTCTTCACTCTGAATCGTGAGTTGGCGGCTCAGGAGACAGGGGGCGGCCTGGGAAGTTGTAGACGGGGAAAAGCTTTAAGACCTTTTGCCCCAGGACCCTCCTTCGTGGTGAACTGTGGCCGACGTCTCACCCCGCCGCCAGTGGATGTGTCGGCCCCTAGCTGAGGTATACACCGTCCCCTTTGTGGTGCCAGTCCTTCTGAAGACGGCCGCCGAAGGCCCTGGCACAACCTAAGCATTTTGCCTTCCGGCCCAGTGGATGACGGAAAGCTTCTCTGGTGGGTACTTCGCCGCCCTCTGCTTCGGCTGCTTGCAGGTGGCCGCGCACCTTCCAGTGCACTGGTTTTCGGTGCCCGAGGCCGCCTGCGCGCTTCTCGTGGCAAAGATTCTCGACGCCTGAGGCCTCCCCCTGCGCAGTGTGCCTCTGCCCGGCACGTCCTGCCGGCCGATCGACCGCGTTGGCGTCCGCCTTCACCGCTGACCAAAAGTTTCGGCCCCACGCGCGCTGAGCCGCGCGTGCCCGTCTCTTGCGCGCGTCGGACGAATCGCGCGAGCGCGCCCATGGGCCACTCGGCCTTCCCGCGCGTCGTGCGGTCCACCCACGGCCCGCAACAGCGCGGCGGCGTGGGGGTCGGAGTAACATCCCCTGGCAAGCGTCGTGCGCCAGGCTCTTCTCGGGTCTGAGGCAGACCCGGAAAACATACGCGCGCGGTGATCAAATATTCGATACCAGCGGCGCTCGGAGAGGTGGCCGTGAGCCACACGTGGGTCTGGGGCTATGGTGGAGATCGGTCGACATCTTGTCCAAAGCCAATATAATGTGTGGCCGATGTCCTTCAGGCTCTCGGACACTGCGCGGTTCTGTAGCACCCCATGGAGCGGAATGGACTTAGCGCTGTGAGCGACGCGTCCCCAAGCCATCGGGCACGCACTCTCCGGCCATGGCCTTTGCGCGCACGAACCTTACTCCGTTGCATGCCCTATCTATCCTGCTTGCGAGCCCTCGCTGAACTTGTATGTGCGTGTGCACTTGTATGTGCGTGTGTACTTGTAAGTGCATGTGTATGCATTGCTCTGCTTCGGCACGGCATCACGAATACCAACACGGAAGACCAATGCATTGCGCAAGGCGTACAATGTCGCAAGGGCAGAAAATCCAGAACTCCGAGGCCTGTGGACTGCAAAAAGAATCGATATTCCATCAAAAAGCAGAGCGCATGTCGCATTCACGTGTTCGCAATTGTCTGAATTTCGCGCAGGACCATAATCAAGGTTTCAAGGACGCTGTGAGAAAACATGACGAACCTGAAATGCACTTTGCCACCAAATTTGACCCCCTCCTGAGGCCAGAGAGGCAGAACGTCATACTTGCTTCTGCCCTCTGAGGACGCGCGTGGCTGGAGGGCTGGAGAACTCCTCCTCCTCCTCCTCCTCCTCCTCCTCCTCCTCCCCCTCCTCCTCCTACTCCTCACCCTCCTATATTAATCCCCCGCACTGATCTTAATTCGCATCCTCCTTTTCCGTAGTTTCTGTCCCCACGTGCCTCATCATGCGGGCTCCCCCCCCCCTCATCGGCGTGCCGAGAACAATGAAGGGAAAAACCGATCAACGCCACCAGCACAAGCGATGCGGAACAAGCGGCAAGGATGACAGCACCTCGGGTCGTACGACTTGAGCCTAATCGCAGTGTCATGTGATTCCGAGTAATGTGTTGACATGGCGAAACCTATCCTCATGACATAAAACCGTCATAGTCATCACGTTACCCACAGTACATGGATGTCGCCAACCATCCATTAGGTCATCCTGCTCATCATCCACACATACACCCTGCTCCTCCTCTGCCAGATCCTCAATGGTGCTCCTCATCCTCATCTGGGTCTCTTCCACCCCCAAGAAACACCCAACGAAGAACGAGTACACCTCGTTCATCCCCTACTTGCACCTCATCCAGCTTCTCCTCCTCCTCACCCTCCTCGTCCTGAGACTCCTCATCCACATCCTCTCATGCTGCTCCTCATCATCACCATCACCACCACCATCAACATCCTACTCGTCCTCGTCCTCATCCTCCGCCCCCTCCGCCTCCAGATCCCTCCACACAACTGAATCCCCATAGGATATTCCAGGAGTCCCTCACCTTCTGCATCGCCCTCCTCGTTTGAGGGAGTTTCTGTGGAACTCACGTCATCCTTACCCCCGGCGCGCGGGAGAGTCGCTTCCAAACGCACCTCCAGGGACCATTTCCGGCGCTGCGCCCGGCACACCGGGCACGCCGGGCGTGTCCCAACCCGGCACCCTCGCTCGAGACATCCTCGCAAAATCGCCACACGGGGCCCCCAGCGCACCCCCAGGG